AACCATTAACATGTGGTTATATGACCTATACTGCAGCCATCCACCAGGGGGCAATCAAGAAGGTTTGGCTTCGCTTCTTTATTTACAGTCGGTGGTTTAAACATGGCTTAAATGAAACTTCTCTTCTTTCGGGCTGAAGTGGAAAACTGGTGTGCTGATGTTATGTAACTGTGTCACACCTTCTGACAATGTGCAGAACATCTGGATGGAAACATGACATGAGAAAATAGTTTTCCTGTTAGTCTGCAGGACGGACGGAGGGAGTGAGGTAAGGGAGGAAGTGAAAGAGAGGGAGAAGAAGCAGAGAGAGAGAGAGAAAAAAAGAAAAAGTGTGAAAAATAAGAGACAAGACAGACAAGGGAGGAGGTCTGCTGACTGACCCCGTGACCTCCCTCCGTTTAAGAGCTGACAAGCTGCAGGCTGGAAGACACACACGCAGACACACACACACACACACACACACACACACACACACACACACACAGTCAGCTGGTCTGACTGAGCAGTATTTTTTAGCAGCAGCAGGTTTTTCCTCTTTAATTATGATGCATCGAATCATACAAACTGAACAGAAACAGCAAATTACATTTTGTCAACACGGCAACAAATCTGTCTGCATCTGTGATTAATGATGTAATAACAAATGTGATAATAGTGTGTGTTCGTGTGTGTGTGTGTGTGGAACTTAGGAGCTAAATGAAACATAACATTCACCATGTTCTTTTCATCAGAGCATGATCACCTGAAACTAATAATTTCAGTGTTTGTGTTGCCTTAGAATGAGGCATGAATGATAATATCTGCATGAGGAGCGGATCCTCGTCCTCATGTTGCACCGCCATGTTTAAACAGTGGCCCGGGATCAACAAAGAGCCAACATAAGCCCTGTCTTGTTTTTATGACACCTGAGGGCCAACGTAGATTCTATTCAGGTGGTTGCAATCTGTGATATCACCACTAGATGTCATCAATTCCTACAGTTCTTTAAATGGAAGTGGAAAAAATGGAAAATAGAACATAAATGTTTATTGTTAAAACAGAATCTATTACATAATTAATAATTATCTTCTTAGTCGACAGTATATAGTGTCTTTAACCATGTTTTTTTATTATATATTATTAAATGTCTGCTAGTACGAGTGACGTACAGTGAAGTGTGACTGACTAATTCTGGTCTCTTTGCAAAAATAAGACGTTCGTTGCATTTGTAAAGAAACGGTTTGAAAAGAGAAAACGGAAATAGTTAGAGAAAAAGGAAAGGAAAGAGTGAGAGAGGAAAGAGAGCGAGGCGAACGGAAATGGTGAGGAAGGCAATGAAAGGGGAGAGAGAGAGAGAGAGAGAGAGAGAGACGAAAAGGAAAGGAGAGGAGAGAGTTGTGGGAGTGATTTGGCAGAAAGATGCAGTTCAGCACCAGCTGACAGAGCACAGAGACAGACAAGCTGTCAGCAGGCCGAGTGCCCAGACACAGACACACACAGACAGACACACACACACACACACACACACACACGGCTGGCACTCAGTGTGTCTGTTCCCTTTTGCCTTTTACAGTGACAACACTTCTCTTTAATAAGCAGAGGAATGTGTCTGTTTATTTTTCATTATTATTTCTCTGTGTGTGTGTTTGTGTGTGTGTTTATGTTTCTTCATGTGTGTGTGTTTGTGTTCATTTCTGTTTCCATCCTCCATTTGCCCTCTCCGCCCTTTTCCCCCCGTCTGTCCTTCCTTCCCTTCCTCCTTCCCTTCACCCTCTCTTCTGTTTTCCCACAGTATTTACGACTGTATTCCTTCCTTCCTTTCTTTCTTTAGTATCTAATCTATGTAAATTGCTGTGTGTGTTTAAATAAAAACAGAAGTGGAAAAGTGGAAGTGGCGACCACGTGACTGTCTGAACTCACCTCAGCTAACCTTTTTATACCTACATGAACTTCAGCTGGCGACTCGACAACTTCGCAGCAGTTCACACATTATCCCTCATGAAATACAGCTTCAAACTGTAAAATAATAAAATAATATAAACAGAAATTAATAAATATCCTAAGTCAGTCCTCATGACTACTCATGAAAACTGTTTCAGACTGCTGGCTGTAATTCAGTGCAATATATGGGAGGGGCTGTATGTAATGACACAGATTACAGGAGCGGTCCTCCCAGACCCCTGGTGAAATGTTTGAGTGAAGTTTTTTAACACGTGAAGGACGTGAAACTGGGAGAATACAAATATCTTAAGATTAAAAAGAGAAGCCATACACGTAGAAGAAGCAGAAAAAGACAAGATTTGCTTTTGCCCATAAGAACCGACGTCTGTGTGGAGCAGTGATGTTTCCACAGCAGGATTTATACGTCATGTCCTCTTCTGGTAAAGATTTGCACGTCATCACAGCTCCTATTTGGATTTTCGTACTTTTGCCGTACGTCTTGTTGCCATGGCAATTCAATGAATCGTGTTCACTGCATCTTGAGCAGATCGATTGATCCCCGGATCAGTTTTTTATTTATTTATTCCTGAAGTTGTCACGTGTCCCAATGAGAACTTCAAGCTTTAACACCCCCCCCCCCCCCCCCC